TTCCCTACTCTGGTTGTTAGCCTTATTTTTAGAAAGTTTCCCCTGAGACTTGTTATATGCAATAAAACTATGCAAATATCAAGAGATACATAATTTATCTTCTGTCTTTTCTTTTTGCCCTATCAAGATAAGCCATATGAGCTAGCCTTATGCCCATACTGATCTATCTTTTTCTGACGTGCTCGTTATTATAATCTCTTCCTTATAATGCCTCTCCTTGGTAATTATACCCATTATAAATGTGATACCGGAGCTAGCTCAAATCAAATTAGGAAAAAACAAATATTATTACTGGAAGCAAATATGCGGTTACAATCAAACACTCTTGAAAGGGAAAATACAACACACACTACACGCAAACTCATGTTTAGGCAGATCTCGGGTGATGGTGGCGACGATTAGAGAGCCTAGCGAGGTACCAACAAGGTAGGGAAGGGGTTTTCGGGTTGTGGATGTAGAACGACATCGATTATGGGTGGCTGGAGCAGTGAAGCAGCAAGGGCCGGCAGCCCAACTGCAGCAGTTGGCTGTTTGGGGCGGCTGGACAGCAGAAAAATAGCATTAGGGAGGCGTTGCGGCAATGGTAGCAAGCTAGAATGAGAGAAAAAACTGAACGGGTGGCCGGAACAGCAGAGAACAGCTCAGACAGTTGTTTTCATGTGGTGACAACGAGCGGGACTGGCGAAGGCAATGGCGGTGAAGGCATGGGATTGCGGGACAGCCAAAGAGGGACGGTCCACGGGCTGCGGCAGCGAGAAGGATGGCTGGACAGCGAGGAACTGCAGGAAGAAAGCAAGTGTTGTTGGGGTGGCTTTATCGAGGATGAAAGCGTGGTAGCTAAGCGAGAGGGAGGCTGGAAGGGGTAGGGAAGATAATCACCACCTAGAAATCAAAATACAATCGAAGCACCACTTGGAACCCTAGAATACATCCCTCAAAAGTAAAAGGAGACGCTGACGGCTGTCCCTATTCCAAGCACACAAAAAAATAACCCTAAACTCCCATGAAAGTGAATTTATAATAATATGATAACTAGGAGTGGGCCCAGAAACTGGTGGACGCTTCCAAAACAGAAAGACCCGGACCGGTTCGGTTCAGGCGAGCACAAGCCTTGCGGGAGTCGTAGTACTGTAGTAATGATCACAAAACCTTCTCCTGGGCCGCTCTTGCATCAAAATGCTTCTTCTGCATTTTGTCTTCGGTAATGCTTATGCCGGCCTATTTGGTTTTGAAGCTAGTTGGTGAGATCATTCTTGATGTCTCGGAGAACTTTTCATTGAGTTCGTTGCATTTACCTGGCTTGGTTGGTTTTTTGGGTGAGTTGGTCAAATTGTCTTTGTCGAATAGCGTTGGCCGAGCTATCTTGATCGAGTAGCATTGTCCGATCACCTTGGATGAGCCGTCCAGATGATTATTCTGGCCAATCTGCTTTGTTGTATCGATTGGGTGGCTCGTATGATGACCTAAACCCGGTCACATGTATGTATATACGTAAGAATTGTGTGCTATGTATTATTATTATTTTTTTATGAGCGCACTAAAATGATAAATGGATTGTCTATACAAATATAAGTATTAAACATCTGTGCTTTGATTTTATTAAGAATATCCAGTACATGTATTTGCTGTCTAAATATGATCTCTACAATATTCCTGCTCGTCATTGTTCAATTTTTTCAAAACAGAAAGCTGTATGTTCTGTGTTGTAAAATATGATGTCCTGCTTCATAGTCAACTTTTATGTTGTTAAATAGATAACTTTGTATAAACTTTGGTAAAAACATTCTAGCACCTGCATATATTTGAATATAACGTCCACAACATGTGCTGCACAAGTTTTATATTTTTTCTACGCTTTTTGTATTCTCATATCTGTATGTTCTGTATACTCTGTACAAGTATGATAATCAAGTAGTCACTGATGATTTTTTCTTTCAATGTAGCATGGACGGATGCTTCTGCCACTGAATATGACAGCTGAAACACCCATATACGTTAATGCTAAACAATTCCATGGAATCATTAGGCGGAGGAAAGCTCGTGCTAAAGCAGAGATGAAGAACAAACTGGTCAAAATCAGGAAGGTGCGAATTTGGAAACAGTTTTTTCAAATAACTTAAATAATGAACATTCCATTTTCAAATTATATAAATAATGCACATTCCCTTTATGATTCATTATTTCAATAATAATTGATATGTTATGTACCGATCATGACCACAGTAATAGTACGATTTCAAGATTTCACAGCTGCAACTCCATTACCACTTATAAACCAAATAATTTATCTTCATCTCTAACATATTTATGACCAACTAACAACCATGTTGAACCCTTCATCATATTCCATCTTTTAATCTTTCAATTTTTCCTCTTCTTGTAGCCATATCTCCACGAGTCACGCCATCTACATGCAATGCGGCGTCCAAGAGGATGTGGTGGCCGTTTCCTGAACACCAAAAAGGATGCGGATGTTCAAAATGTTAAAAGTGATAACCACAACAATGGCAAGCATTTAACTCGGCCTGCAATCACATCTCCGAGCTCTGAAATTCTTCAGTCTGATAGCGGAAACCTTAACTCAGCTAGCTGCGGCTCATGTATATCCCGATCAGAGGTGACCAGCATGTATTCGCAGGGAAAAAATGATCACTTCCATGTGATTGAGCATCTCCGTCCATCCCTTTACCTCCCTCTAGCAAACATGATTGTCGGAGACCGCAGCTCAGTCATCCTTTCCAAGTGGGGAACATCAGCTGATGGCTGCTGCGACCTCCTGAAGGTCTGAGGCACCAAACTTGCTGCAGCCAGATGGAAGAGCTAGCTGCAATAGCAGTGATGCTGCTTTATGCGGCTTGTTCTTGTTGGGGGATAGTCCCTGCTGCTGTCTGGTTATTCTGATAGGCAATTCATTCTTGGCTTTTATCTGCATTGAGGTATATTTCTTTCTTATCACTGATATTGAAGAAAATCCTCACTGCTCTGTATAATGACTTACTATATAGCAGTAGTAGACTTTGGCTCTTTTGCTTCCATTAGTAGTAATCTGTGTGAAAGAATAAGAGGTCCAACTGTTAGGGCTGTCTGTGTCTCTGAGTGGTACTCATAGCAGCTATGGTGCTGCTCACTTTGTGCTTGTTTGTGTTAGGATTTATTACTGTTTGTTTGAAACTGCAATCTTTGCTTCTAGTATTGCATTGTTAAGCATCTCTTTGAGAATTTCGAAGCTTGGAATTGATTTTATTTTTTTTTATTATTTTATTTTATTTTATTTATTTATTTATTACTTAGATTTTTGCTAATTTTTTGATTCTCTAACATACCTGTTGAGGATTATGCATTCATGCATGCCTAGAGGTATAGTACCTTCAGTATCAAGGGGACTGTTTCTTACTGCATTTGTTTTTTAGATGTTTTATGGCGTGTAGTTGTTTGTTTTAAAAGTTAATTATTTTGTGATGGTGTTAGCTGAATTTGATACTTGTTTTAATGGTTTTACTTATGTTGAAATTATACTGAGAATTAGCAAATAAGTTGACCATATTGGGATGAAAATTGATGCCGTTGTATTTCAATGGTAAATAAAATTGTTCTTAGTTTTATATTGAGTATTTAAGTGCCATGATAGATTGATTGGACATCCCAGATGGTACTAAATGTTTCTATTTTTTTTTT